CCATTTTCTGATGAAGGGTCTAGGCCCGAAACGTCAGCCTTCCTGCTCCTATGATGCTGCTTGGCCTGCTGTGTTCATCCAGCTCTGCACCTTGTTATCTCAGATTCTCCAGCATCTGCAGTTCCTACTATCTCAGTCTATAACACCTAACTGGTTATAAAACACTTACACTAAAGTTGAAGGTCATCTCTTAGGATGTCAGGGAGTCTTTGAAAAGTGAATCTGAACAACTGGGGTGGAATCCAATCCAGGGTGATGCAATTAAAGTCTCCTTTCTCAGACAGTACCAAGAGTCCTCAGCAAAATAAGTATGGCCAGGTTACGAAACCACAGCACTAGACATTTAAAGGGAGGCAATGATTTCATGGTATTATCACTGGACTGTGAATCCAGAGTCCCAGATAATGTTTGGGAATCGATGTTTGAATCCTGCCACAGCAGATGGTGGAATTTGAATTCAATAAAAATAATGAAATTAAGAGTCTAATGATGATCACGAATCCATTGTAGACTGTTGGAAAAAACCATCTGGTTCACTAATGTCCTTTAGGGAAGGAAACTGCCACCCTTACCTGGTCTGGTCAATATATGATCATAGACTCATAGCAATATGGTTAATTCTTAACTGACCTCAGGGCAGTTAGGGATGGACAATAGATGCTGGCCTACCCAGTGACACCCTCATCCCATGAATGAATAAAAAAAGTGCCATAATTCAGCAGATTAAAGTAAATTCATGCTATATGGCATGCATTGTGAGCAAATACACCAGTTAACTCATTGCAGTTTTTGACAACAGCAGAAATCCTGTGAAAACGTTCTAAGGCTTGGAGCCTCTCCACTTTTGACACTTTTCAATGTAAACACTGAGGGAAAATATTTCAGTATTAAAACTTTAGACTGACAACATTGAGATGCCTGAGGGGGGTTATTGGAGATTCCGGTTGATGGGCTGCTGAATATTGTGAATGTCACTGTACTTGGGTAATTTCAGGAAACACGAATAGCAAGAGAACGTAAGTTATTCCCAAGAGATGCAATTTTAAAAAAAAGACTGATTATAAGTTTGACCAAAAATGATGTATTTAATTTGCATAGACACTTTCAACATATTACGCTAAAATATCTGAAACCATTTCGTACCTCTGGGTTTATGGCAGGAGCATTCAGAGATATATATTAATTTTACGATGCACTATAAGTTACTCTGAAATAGCTTGTGAGCCTGAATAATGTGTGCATGTAAAACTCAGACTTTAATATTACTTTCACGTCATCATTGCACGTTCTCAAAAAGAGAGGGAGACAAAAAGCGGATAACTACAGGCCTATTAGTTTAACATCTATTGTTGGAATCAATTATTAAGGAAGTAATAGCAGCACATTTGGAAAATCATAATCTAATCAAGATGAGTCAGCATGGCTTCATGAAAGGGAAATTGTGCCTGACTAATTTATTAGAGTTTTTTGAGGAAGTCTCAAACAGAGCGGATTGAGGGGAACCAGGAAATATGTTGTATCTGGACTACCAGAAGGTGCTCAACATGGTACCTCACAAAAGGTTAAGTCATAAGACTGCACAATCTTGGAAGTAGTGTATTGGCATTGATTGAGAATTGGCTAATGGGCAGGACACAACACGTGGGGATAAAGGATTCATTTTCAGGTTGGTGACCCGTAACAAGTAGGAGTCCACAGGGATTGGTGCTGTGACCACAACTGTTTACAATATATATTAATGACTTTGAGGAAGGAGTCAAATGTACTGTAGCCAAATTTACAGTCAACATAAAAGTAGGTGGAAAGGCAGGTTGCTAAGGGGATACAAACAGTAAGTGGGCAAAAAGTTAACAAATGGAATAAAATACAGGAAAATGTGAAATTATTCATTTTGGAAGAGAGAACAAAATAACAGAGTATCATTTAAATGGAGAAAAACTGCAGAATGCTGCAACACAAAGACATTTGGGGGTACTTGTGAACAAAACACAGATAGCTAGCACACAGATGCAGCAGGTAATCAGGAAGGCTGACAGAATGTTGGGCTTTATTTCAAGAGGGTGACATATAAGAGAAGTCTTATTTGCAACTGTACAAGGTGCTGATGAGACCACATCTGGAGTAGTTGAGCAGTGTTGGTGCTCCATTGGAGGCAATTCAGAGAAGGTTCACGAGGATGATCCCCAGTATGCAGGAATTGCCTCATGAGCAAAGGCTAAACAGGTTCGAACTCTGCTCATTGGAGCGGATTGAAACATACAGGATTTTAAAAGGCTTGACAGGGTAAATTCAATACTGAGAGGATGTTTCCTTTCATAAGAGAACTTACGACCAGAAGGCATAGCCACAGAATAAAGGATCACTAATTAAGACTGAACTGAGGAGGAATTCCTATGCTGAGTGTTGACAGTCTTTGGAGCTCCTTGCCACAGGGTGCTGTGGGGTTAGAGTCCTTGTGTATATTAAAGGCTGAGATAGACAGATTCTTGATCAGTGGAAGAATCAAGGGTTATAGGAAAATTGCAGGAAAGTGGACATGAGGAATGTCAGATCAGCAATGATCCTATTGAATGGCAGAGCAGGCCTGAGGGGGCTTTCTATTTCGTATGGTTTTCTTTCCTTCAGTGCATTTTGTGTGGGATTAAGATGGTGTTGACAATGCAACCAAGTGGCATTTACATAAGAAAAAAACACACTTGTCCTAAGTTAGAACTGTATCACCATTCCTTCAGTGCCACCGGCTCAAAGTGCTGGAACTCTCTTCCTATCAGCACTGTGGACACCACATGGACTGTAATGGCTCAATAGATGACTAAGCAACACCTTTTCAAGGGCAGTTAGGAATGGGCAACAAATGCTGCCTTGTCATTGTCACTCAGACTACATGAAAAAATTTAAAATACGATTACTGTTGGCATCTTATGATATATGACTAAACACATAATCTTCGTTAGGATCTTAATTCATAAACATTAATTTTTTAACATTTTCCCAAGCAGTCCCAGTTCAAACCACTTGAATGAAAGGCAAATTTATTAGTAGTTCTGGAATCTCTTTGGCAACTGGGTGATTTTCCAATCACACATTTGAGTGTCATTAAGTCTGACTATTTCTCTGTACAGATACTTTGGCTGTTTGTACTTTATAAGTAACTGAACTAAATAAGTCTGAGATATATTGAAAACAGTGAATCATACTAAAATCAATAGAAAATGTTTTATTTAGTTCATTATGCTGTACTGATTAGTTGCTATCTTAAGACAAACATGGCTATTCTCCTTTAAAAACACTGAACATTAGAATGAATGTACTGACATAAATATGCCTGATAGGATTTGAAACAGCCTCCAGTGTAAAGGCTGTTACGAAGAGTGAGAAAGGATGAATCAGCATCTTTCTTTTTAACCTCCTCAGTTGGTGCATCAAAGTTTTTATGTTCCTTTTAGCACTAGGTAATACTATTCCAATGTCAAAATAGTTAACTTGTTCACCAGAAACAATAAGGAGCCAACTATAAGGTTTACTTGAGTGGAAAATAATTTTATTATTATTAATATTTTTATTATTATAATTTTATTATCTCCCATCTCAGAGAAAGAAATGAAGATGCTGCATCAAACATGCAAAGAGTAAAAAAACTGAAAATGGATAAATGCACAGATCAAAAGGAAGGTGATAGAAATATCTGTAAAGTCCTTGATGTATCCTTGAGATGTAAAGGCTTTAGCCTGAGACCATGGTTGTTTAATTGGTGTCTTGTATCCTCAGCAGTAGTCAATATATCCATTGTTCTTTGAGCTCTGACTGTTCTGATAA